CTATCAATATACCATGCCGACACATGAAGACGGTTATCTCCTCAATCCTGCTCTGTAGCCCGTTGCAGTTAAATTGAAGGAGCTTCATGTGGTTCGGGAGACGTGTTGTTGTTGTTGTAGCGGCTATAACAACCCCGCCCAGGACGGTTGGTATCTCAGTCGTTGTCGTCAAGTTCCACTAAGGGCAACCCTAGGAAGCGTGCAGCTTCTGTGGGGTTTGTCCACAGGGACAAGGCCGTTAGGGTTGTCGGGTTTTCCGGGCATGCGAAGAGATGTTTCGAGTCATGTGGGGTCTCTCCGCATGCCGGACACTCATTCGGCACATCCTCATTCAACCTACTCAGGTAGGAGTTTAACCTGCTGCAGTAGCCGGAGCGAAGTTGTGCAAGTGTTGTGTCTCGCTCCGGGAGACGTGTCGTGTGTGCTCGGGCGGACTGAGGTTAGCCGTGGAGGCTGCTCTGTTTGAGCAACAGGGGGCCACGTACGACGTGGTCCACTGTCGATGTGACCGTAGTCCCGAGCAGACTCTGAGGTGACTCCACCCCTCGCAGGCATTACACTTGACTGAGGTGGAGTTGTGGTGTAATCGTCTCCGGCATACACAACAGGTGTAGGTGTCTGGCCCTGGGTTTGACTCGATGCCAGCCCTGAGTAGAAGAATACGTAGTGAATGTAGCCCTATGGACGGACAACTTCTGAGATACTTCGCCGACCTAAACGGGGTTAGATCGCCGAAACAACAGCCCTTGGTCGGGTAAAACCCGAGTCATTCCGGTACGCAGAATCGGCTGTCGTGGGAATGAACCGTTACCATGTTTATATGTTGCTTCAATTCGTTCTAAGTCAAACCATGTTATTTGGACACACACATGTAAACTCATTCCTAAATCGAATTTTAACCTTGCCACCATAAATCACATTTTGAATGCGAGTTAAGAGTTGTTGAATCGTGTCGGTTGTTTCATGCAACTCTGTATGAAGTAAAACATTTAAATAGTTCTTGAAATTACATTTAGGCTAAGCTTTGTTATAAAATTAATAGCTAATATCCTTTTTTCTTGGCTGTTTGAGTTTTTAATTATTATTTTTCCATATTTATATATTTCCAAGAATTGACACATGTATTAACAGGGTTGCATCGGGATGAACTCTGTTTGAAAGCGTGTTCGATCGACTTATTTTGTTGCATATAAACACTTGCATTTCAAGCGATCTACACTGACACGAGTTGATTCGATACCGCGCTTGGTGCCATATAAACAATACCTATACCAATATATACCAATATATGTATTTCGAGTTTTTTTTTAGCATGATTTCCCTGTCGATCGTCTCGAAGTATTGTGTACAAATACAAGTGAGATATCTTAGCAATAGACGTTTTCCTGTGCTTATTTTGGTCTAAACTGCTCTTTTTTGACCTGAGTTGCATTAAATAGTCTCTTAAAACTTGGTAGTATTTGTTGTTCAAATGGTAACATATATGCCCAAAAACTTGAAAAATATTAGATGAAGGCTTTTTAAAAATGCTATTTATAAAATTTCGTTTTGATTGCGACATTAGAAATATTCAGATTATAAACGTTTTTCACATATGTATGTTTTAAGATTTTAAAGCTTTTAAAAAGTACGGTAGAATGCAACAATGTGCTTGAATTTGTTTGCATCTTCGTCAGCTTATTCGTTTGCAGGCTAGAAATTTGGCGAACAGCCATCAAAATACTGGGCCCGAATCGCGGTAGTCGTGAACGAGCGACCATTCGAGTCGAGCAAAATTTCGTGACGTGTAGAATGACCGGATCGCCGCAGTCGAAACCTAACGAATCGAAATTATTTAGTTCCAAACTTGCCTTCCACTTGTGGATGACGAAAAAGAAATGTCAACACAAAGCAAAAGAATCAAAACGAAATTACATTTATCTGTGATGCGTTATATTTAAAGAAAACTTTACTAAAAAATTATATTTGCATCAATAAGGATGGATCCCGTAGTATTTTTTTATTTAACTTCTTCGGAGTCAGAAGATGAAAGCAACTGCGCAGCCGCAAGGAGACAGATGCGTGAAAGAAGCAATCCTATGGCTTTGTCGG